GGGGGGTGGGGGAGCGCCGGCGGATGGGGAACGAGCGACACCAGCGGCTGGGGCGTCGCAACCGGCGGATGGGGCGCAGCAACAGGCGCATACATCGGCGGATGGGGCGCCGCACAAGGCGGCGAGACGAGCGGCTGGGGAGCTTTCCGCGAGGATCAAAGGGGGGAAGAGGAAGAAGAACCTGCGCATGCCGACGTCGAACCTCTCGTTGTTCCTCTCGGACGACCTCCGCGCCGCCCTGCGTTAGGACCACCGCCGCCTGACATCCCTTCAGGTAGTGACCCCTGGGACACCATTGACTGGGGAAGTGAACCACTCACCCCGTGACGCACTGTCTACGGACCTGCCCCTGAACCATGCGAACCGGCGTTCGTACTTGGCACGATCCCCGGAACCAACATCCCCTACTCCATCATCCGCGACAGAGAATTTCTCGCCCTCATGCTAACAACGGCGAACGAGGAAGAAGAAGAGAACGGGGGAACAGCGCCTACACCTGCACCGGCACCTGACGAAGACCCCGCAGCCGCACTGGAGCGCTACATGCGCACATCTGGATTCCGCGCCGACGACGCCATCTGGCATCAGCGCCTATGTCACCCTTCGCGCGTGACCCTGAAGAATTGCATCGAAGCCGACGTCTTTGCACCTGGCGCGCTGTTGCGCCCTGACGACTCCGAAGTGAGAGGAGGGACTCACCCGCGCAGCTGCACTGTCTGCCCCGAAGCTGCGCTGATTCACCAGCCCTTCCCCCTACTCGAGCCAGGAACCAATCGCTACGCCAAGCTTGAGAAGGTTTACAGTGACTTTCTCAACGTAGGACACTGCGGCATCAACGACGAACTCTACACACTCACCTTCGTCGACGCCGGAACGCGCCACGTGTGGGTCGTAAACGTGGAAGCGCGTAGCAGAGCCTACGAAGCATTCCGTCTGTGGCTGGCGCACGCGCAGCGGCAATCTGGGGAGAAATTGAAGATTTGGCAGTCCGATGGTGCGGCGGAGTTCAGGAGCAAGGAACTGCAGGATTACCTCGCGCAAAAGGGGATCGAGCATCACATCTCCCTCCCCTACGCGCACCAGCAGCAGGGCGTAGCGGAGCGCACGAATCGCACCCTCATGACGAAGGTACGGGCGCTAATGCGGCAGGCAAAGCTCCCGCCGATCTACTGGACCTACGCGATGCACCATGCCGTGCGGGTGCACAACCTGCTGTCAACCACCGCAATCACTGGCAATTAATCGCCGCACGTGAAATGGACGGGAAGAAAGGGGGACACCTCCATGCTCCGCGTCTGGGGCTGCATGGTTCAATACCGACCGCCAACATCAACCATCGGGAAGTTCAAAAGCCGCGCGCGCTGGGGAATCCATCTCGGTATCAGCCACGAACACAAGGCGTGGATCATCCTGGATCTCTTAAGCCAGAAATCCAAGAATGCGCGCGATGTCATCTTCTACGAGCGACTGTTTCTGCAACAATTTCGTGACGACGAGCAGACGAATGCAAACCGCGTCTACGCCAACGAGGGCCACAGCTACGCCTCACCTGAGGACGAAGCAGCAGCAGCAATTCTGGAGCAGGATCCCAGAGGCGAGTTCACAAGGGGCGATCGCCGCGACGACGACGACGACGATGACGATGATTCAGGTGAAGGAGGAACAGGCGCAACAGGAGGAGGCGCAGCAGGAGGAAGCAGAAGCGGCGGAGACACAGCACCGCCAGCACCGCCTGAACCAGAAAGCGATGATGACGACGTGCAGGAAGTCGTCACTCAACATCGCCACGACAGCACTGTCACCGGTCTCCAGCTACTCGGACTACACGCTGCCATCTCCACTGCTCCGCGCATCATCGAACCTAAGAACCCACGGCAAGCTCTCACAGGCACACACAGCAAGGAGTGGCGCGAAGCAATGGATGCGGAAATCCGGGCACTCGAGTCGCGCGACACCTGGGTGCTCGTCGACCGTGCAGCAATAAAGGGGAGAAGGATTCTCTCCGGCAAATGGGTCTTCCGAGTGAAGACAGGAGCCGACGGAAGGATTGAGCGATTCAAGGCACGCTGGGTGGTGCGCGGCTACGATCAAAGGCACGGGATTGATTTTGACCAGACATTCGCACCGGTCAGCCGTCACACGTCCGTCAGAATTCTCCTCGCCATCGCAGCCGCACGACACCTACCACTCCGGCAGATCGATGTGAAGAATGCGTTCCTGTACGCATTAGTGGACGCCGTGATCTACGTGGAACAGCCACACACTTACGGTGACGGAGACCCACGCGTCTGTCAGCTACGCAAGTCCCTCTATGGGATCAAACAGGCACCGAGACTCTGGCAGCAGTACCTGCACAACATACTGCTTGAAATCGGGTTCAAGCAGCTGCCTCACGATCCTGGAATGTATCGCCGCGATTTCCGCGGCGAATACATCCTCCTCACGGTCTACGTCGACGACCTTCTCTACACAGGCTCAAGCAACGAATTGCTCGAGCAATTTGAGAGAAGCCTCGCAGGGCGCGTCGACATCACCTGCAATCAACATCACCTACTCGCCGGAAGCCATTCATCTCTCAGCAGCGAAGTATGCGGAGGAGCTTAGCAAGCGCTTCAACATTGCGCCTGCACCACTCTCCACCCCTTACCGCACTCCAGGACCCAACCACAAGCCTGACAACAAAGCCCTGTCCCCTGCTGGGCTTCACACTTACCAGCAGCAGTTGGGATGCCTGCTTTTCGCATCTGTTACCTGCAGGCCCGACCTCTCCTACATTGCGAGCCAGTTGGCTCAGTACTCACGCAAACCAACGGCTGAGAATCTCTCAGATTTTCAGCGAGCCCTTCAATTCTTTATCTCCACGCCCAATGTCGGGCTCAGTTATTCCACCATCCCAACCACATCCTTCAGCCTCGTCGGCTACGTGGATGCCGATCACGCCGCTGACCCTGACAATCGACGGTCCAGGACAGGGTTCCTCTTCCGCCTCGAGCCCAGCGGCCCCATCTCCTGGAACTCTCAGAAGCAGGAGTTGGTTGCCCTGTCATCGGCGGAAGCTGAATTTATCGCAGCAACAGCAGCTGTTCGCGAAGGTCTCTACCTTCAGGAACTGCTGCAGGAAGCAAAAATTCCGGCCTCAACGAACTTTCGCCTGCACTGCGACAATCAGAGCGCGATCAGGATCGCGAACAAACCTGGTTTCGTCAACCGCACCAAGCACATCGCACTGCGGTACTTCTTCGTCAAGGACGAAGTTGACAAAGGCAAAGTTGACCTGACATACTGCCCAACGGGTGACATGGCAGCAGACTTCCTCACGAAGAGACTGCCGCGTCAGCAGTACCAGCACTGCTCCGAACTCAGCGGGGTAGTCAAGCGGGTCAATGCTCGCTACGGCCAAGAGTGAAGGGGGGTGTTACGAATAGTAGTTAATGAAAAACACTGTTGCGCACTCCTCACCGTAGTAAAGCCGAAGCACGCACTATCGAGAGTGAAGACGAAAAGCCAGAAGAAAGTCGAAGGGACAGACGGTTACGAGGAGCATCTGGACCGTCGGGCAGACAGCATCAGGCAGCAGCAGGCCCTCAGATTCACTTTTAGGGACGTTGATGCATCAGGGTCCCTGTGAAAAAAAGCCTGAATTTTCAGGGTTCCTAAAAAAAAAAAGCCTGAATTTTCAGGGTTCCGGAAAACAAGAGCCTGAATTTTCAATTACATCATGCAATTGTGCAAGAGAGTAGCCTTTAAAGCGACAGTGCACATTTGCCACCCAAAACCCAGAACCCTGGCGAACTGTTACTGCGGATGGAAAGTGTCCGCACGAAATCCTGGTTTTCGCCAGCCAGCACTTTCGCGCTGGCAAGCCTGGTTCAAAAAAAAAACTTCTGAACCCAACACTGCCAAAAGTTGCCCGTCGCTTGAAGAACATGGTGGTAGAGGGATTCGAACCGGAAACCTTATCAATCGGTATCTACTTCGCTAACCACTAAGCCAGTTCATCGAGTCGACGATTGGTATTTTTTAGAAAAGATTTTATGAAGCGGAAATGTTGGTTGACTTATTGTCTCGGGTGTTTTACAGGAAGGATTCGGAATGTGCATTCAGTGTACACTTCGATAAAAGTCTGAAACATCAGTGTTAGCTATGAAGTAAAGGCTGAAAAAATCAGTGTCACAAAAATCTCAACACTGAAAATTCAGTGTAGGTACACAAAACTAGGCTGAAAATCAGGAATTTCAGGGAAAAATTCCTGATATCGTAGGGCCTGGGCAGCAGCAGTGGCGAGGATTCTGCCCGAACAGTTACGTAACCACTCGGAGTCGCACGGTTGGATTTCGATGCAATAAGGGAATGTACCCCTTAGAGTACATGGCTAGTTAGGTCCTTTCGAATTCCCCTGTACTCATATTTATATTCCTTGTACTGCACGTGTTTATTATCTCAAAGCATTTTACATTCACTCTGCTATTGAGTTCAAGGGCCCACCAACATCACTTCTCTGCGTGCGAACCTTCCTGAGGTGATCCTGGTTACAATCACTTTCTGATTTTAGCAAAATCAAACAGTCAGAAAATATGACCTTGGAGCGTGCCACCACCTACATCAAGAGAGGCAGATGAGCAACATCCACCATCCCCACACCTCCTGTTGCTGGCCTCTCTCACCTATACCATCAACCAATCGCACCTGTTTAAGTTTAACCCTTTCTGCAGCCCTTCCACCAGCAACATTACTTTCCCTTCGAGCAGCCAAGGACACTACCACCGCCTCCCTCTCCTCTGTTGCACATGCGTGGCTTGAAGCCTTCTTTCACTGCCTGCTCAGCCATCCTGTGCTTCCAGCCTCGCCGTAACAAGGTTAGTCAGTCTGCATGTGCACGGCCTGCAGTAGCCATACCATCAATCACACATCTGCTTGTGAATGCTACTCTGGCACCGCTGTGTGCACGCCACGCTGCGCCTCGCCACGCACTCCATGCCAAACATGCCGTCATCTTGGGATCATCGGATGCGGGGCAGCAGCAGGAAGCCATCGAAGCGAGGGTGCCGGCCTGCTGTGCTACGCACCGACCGCCTTCCTCTACCCGCCCCTCCCTCCACCACCCCGCCTCCCCTGCTCCCACCTTCTGCACCACCTGCTGCACCCTCTCGCCCCAAACTCTCACTCTCACTCGCTCTGCCATGCTGCCACGCACTGCCAACTGTCACACCCTCTGCTGCCGCTGCTGTTGCGCTTTCATGTGGCCGAGGGCTCATCTTCCCCTGGCCTGCTGTTGCGCTTTCATGTGGCCGAGGGCTCATCTTCCCCTGGCCTGCTGTTGCGCTTTCATGTGGCCGAGGGCTCATCTTCCCCTGGCCTGCTGTTGCGCTTTCATGTGGCCGAGGGCTCATCTTCCCCTGGCCTGCTGTTGCGCTTTCATGTGGCCGAGGGCTCATCTTCCCCTGGCCTGCTGTGCGTGTGCCTGGCATGCCACTCTCAATCGCCCGCACCCTGTCTCCACTTCTCTTATCTTGGCTATCTCCCCTGCCTTTCCTCCTCTGACCCTCACCGCCCTTCCCTTCTAGGCAGCAAGCCTTTTCTGCTGAGCTAGCAACCTTGGCTGCTGAGCTGGCAACCTTGGCGGTCGAGCTGGCAGTCATACCAGTAGAGGGGACAGTGGTACCAACAGAGCAGGCAGCAGTGCCAGCTGCTGTGCCAGCAGCAGCTGCTGCAGCAGTGGAGCCAACAGCGCAGTGAGCAGGTGCGTTGGGAGGAGCAGGAGGGTGTGTGGCAGCAAGAGCTCAAGGTGGCTCGGCCGTGCTGACAGCACCTGCCTTGGGTCGGTCGCTGCGCCGCTTCTTGAGGACCGGGAAGGAGAGAGCGGGCTGCTTGAGGGGCAATGTTGAGAGTTTGGAGATGCGGTCTGCAGTGGTACCGGCGGTGGCACTTGTGGTGGCACCTATGGTGGCAGCTGCGGTGGTAGCTGTGGCGGCAGCTGTGGTGGCAGCAGTGGTGGCAGCTGTGGTGGCAGCTGTGGTGGCAGCTGTGGTGGCAGCTGTGGTGGCAGCTGTGGTGGCAGTTGTGGTGGCAGCTGTGGTGGCAGCTGTGGTGGTAGCTGTGGTGGCAGCTGTGGCGGCAGCTGTGGTGGCAGCTGTGGTAATAGCTGTGGTGGTAGCTTTGGTGGCAGGGCAGGATACCTGTGATGTGTCTCCACGGCTCGCGAGTGTATCATCTTGAGGCGCTCTTGCTGTTGCTCGTATGCTTGCTGTGGTTGTTCGTGTGGATCCTGTTGCGGTTACTCCATTGCTTCCTGCTGTGCTTGCTGCTGCTGCAGCGACGGCGGCTAACTCAGCTGATAGCAGCACAGCAGCTTGTTCTTCTGCTGCTGCCTTGCTGCGTTGCACCCCACCAGCACTTCCCGCACTGCCAGCACACCCATCCCCATCGCCATCGCCATCGCTGCTGTCTCCCGCCCTCACCTCACCGCCTCCCCCACCACTCCCCTCCCCTCCCTCTCTCCTCCTCTTCCTCACGGACCTGCTCCTCTTCCCACTCACTCTCACGCCTGCCCCTGCCTCACCCCCTGGGGTAGGCGGGCAGGCAGCTGGCGATGCCAGCGGTGCAGGCAGAGGAGCAGCAGCAGGGGAGGTGGCCGGGGGGGCAGGGAGTGAAGGGGAGAGAGGGCGAGAGGCCATGTGGGATGGATCGGTGGGTTGAGGAAGGGAGGAGCAGGCAGGCAGAAGCGGTGAGGCGATGCAGGAGGCGGGGGCAGGCTCGTATGTTACAGTCGGGCCACGGGGGCAGGTTGTAGCACAAGCAGGCACGGCCATGCAGCTGCCTCCTTGCAGGGCCGCTGCGTGCAGGGCGCGAGGGCTCCTCTTGCCCTTGGTGGCTGCGGCCGTGGCACCAGCGCCAGCTGAGGCAACTGTGGCAGCGGTAGCAGCAGCGACAGCGGTGGCAGCGGAGGCAGTACCACTGGTCGCCACACTGCATGCAGCCCTGGGAGCAACACTCACACTCGCTTCTGCTGCACCCCCAACAGCCACTGCTCCTGCTCTCCCCTTACCCACACGCACTGCCTTGCCTTCCCCGCCTGCTGCCAGCTTCCGCTTGGCACTGCGAGAGCCTTTCAGCCCGGACGCCTTCAGTTCCGAGGCAGCACCTGCGGTGCCGATTCCCCCACGTGCTGTCGCAGTTGCTTTGCCTGACGGCGCTACAGTTTTTGCTACAGCCAGAGGCGTCGCTGTGCGTGCGGGAGAGGGTGCGGTGAGCAGCGATGCAGTGGGTGGTGCGGTGGGAGGAGGCGATTGAGTGGCAGGAGGAGTAGTTGCAGCGGTATCAGCCTTGAGGCGCGATGCCAGGCGGGCCACAGCGCGGCGCAGGGTCTGATAGTGGCGCGAGGTGGCAGGGAGAGGAGGGACAGGGAAGGGAGATAAGGTGAATGCAGCAAAAGGTGAATAGTCAGCAGCACTTGATCAGCATTCTCCATGACGACAGCAGCAGGTTCGCTGCTCACCTTGATCTCTGGGCGCAGGTCCATAGGCAGGGCAGAGGCGTGGCTGATGAGCGCGCGCAGATGTGACAGACGCTGGGCGGCCTGGCGCTCTGACAGCTGTGACTGAGATGAGAGTGCCTTGCTGAAGCAAGACAGCCACTCAGAACGGCATCAGTTGTGCCTACTGTGTGCGAGCCCTGGAGGACAGACAAGGGAGGGGAGGGGTGAAGGAGGAGGATTGAGAGATGGAAGAAGGTGGGACAGAAAAAGACTCTTGGCATGCACACAGAGAGTATAATGGAGCGAAGAGAGCAACGGAAAGACAAGAGAAGTGGGGTTGGAGACACTAAGATCTGCTCGTTACACAGTATCGCCGTAAGTGCAATTCTGTTTGTATAAGCCACTATCTCACCGTCTGCACCAGCTGTGCCAGGGTGGAAGGTCGGGGCCGTGGGCGGCCAATGAGAGCGCTACACGTGGCAGCCCTCCAGCAGTGGGCGGCCACTGCCCTCTGCATCACCGCCAGCGTGCCGCCCGCCCGACTTCCTCAGCACCAAGGTAGTCGACAGCGGCAGCAGAGGCGACCGAGGGGAGAAGGGGGGGAGGGGAACACCCGTCAAAGAAGGGCGTGCGGGGGTCGCCACAAGAGGCACCTACAGCAACTATGCTAGCCTCAGCTGCAAGCAGATGCTTCTCGAGCAGGTCAACGGTGAGCTCGGTGGGGCAGAGGGCGAGAAAGTGGTCCCTGACTGCGCGAAGAGAGTCAGGGAGAAGGGTGACTAGGTGGTAGAGAACGAGGTACATCGGGGGCGGATTCTTGGCGAGGAACTCAGCAGGAAGGGCGGCTCGGTAGCGAGTGTCACTGGTGCGGAGGTGTGTAATGAGGTCAGCGACTGTGGGAAAGGCGGCCAAATCGGGGAAGAGATAGGGCAGCGAGAGACGGCCGATCGTAGCAGAGGCAGGCAAGGAGTAGCGCGCGACTACTGCATCGTACAGTGCCTTAGCAGTCTTGTGCTGGCCAAAATGCGCGCGCTAATCTAACGGCCGGTGACTGCAAATGGCTAGGCGAGCGTGAGCGTCACGAGTCTGCCACTGGGAGCGAGCTGTACTGTCAGCAGTCTCTACAAGTGCTAGAGCGGTTCCGGACGCGTGATCATACAGTGAGACATCGTCCTTGGCAGTGATCTGTAGGAACAGGTGGAGGTCGTCGAGCCAAGCATCAATCTGAATCGGACGGCCCTCAGCATCGAAAGAGAGGACGGTGGGACTAGCCATAGTGGCAGCAGTAGCAGTAGCAGCAGTAGCAGTAGCAGCAGTAGCAGTAGGAACAGAAGCAGTAGGAGCGGGCGGAACAGCAGTAGCAGTAGGGTAGCGCGGCTCGGACAGGGCGACGCGGCACGGTTCGGGCAGGGCGGCTCGGCGCGGCTCGGGCAGGGCGGCGCGGCGCGGCTCGGACAGGGCTATGCGGCGCGGCTCGGACGGGCAGGGCGGCGCTACGGTGGGCCTGCGCGTGGGCTGCTGTTGCGTACGGGCCGCGGCTGCGCGTGGGCTGCAGTCGCACGCGGGCAGCGAGCTACGCGCTGGCTGCAGCGGCCGGTGCGCAAGCAGCTGCGACGCGCGGGCTGCGCGCGGGGCCGCACGAGGACGGCGCAGGCTGCGCGCGGGCGGTGCTGGTCGTGCGTGGGCGGTTAACGGCCTACGCGCGCTAGAAACGGGCCGCGCGCGGGCGGCTAGTGGGCTGCACGCGCTAAAAACGGGCCGCGCGCGGGCGGCTAGCGAGCTGCGCACGGGCAGCGTGAGAGAGAGAGGCGCGCAAGGGCGCACTAGCAGAGAGGCGCACGAGGGCGCGAAAGTGGTAGGGCGCTCGAGGGCGCTTCTAGCAGAACGGTGGGCCCTTAGGACTAAGCGGTCCTAGGTTCCTAACCTAGGCTCGTAATACCATGTCAGAATGAACAAGATTGTTTGCACTAGGAAAGAGGTGGGTACAAGTAGGAAACCCTAAACTTACTGTACCCCATAGTAACTACCCCACTACAGCCTAAACCAACTGTAGCAGATATAACATTTGACACGCGTCCAGTCAGAATGAGCCGTCACGCCTGTGAAGTGACGTGCCAAAGCTCTGTGCACAGTCAGAGAATGCCCTCGCGCGATTCTGATTCAGGAACCTGTAGGATTTCGATTCGTTAGAATTTACGAGACTGAAATAGATTTTGGTGTGTTTAAATTGTATTTCTTTTTATATAAGCACCGGCGCTTATGGCCGTTACTCAATTACAAGACCCCCCTTAAAAAAATGAGTGTATTATAAGCGCATATGCGCTACTATCTGGGGCCAGACTATACATGATATGTGTTTCGGCCAGGCAAGATACTAAAACCTAGTGTAACCATATGAAGCAGCCTGTGAACGCAAGAATCACATCGAACTGAGGACACTCATGAGACTGGCTTAAATGTGAACCGTGACTAAACAACGACGCATGTTGTCAAACTTATATGCTATAGTCTGTGGGAGAAAGGCCCCGCCCTCGCTTGGGCGCAGCCGATCTCATTGTCGACGAGAAGTTCGCGACGGATTGGTCGACAAAATGGGCTTCTGCAGTTCGACGGAAGTTGCGGTCGAGCAGGCTGTGCTCGACAGAATCCGGTCAACGAGCTCTGCGTCTGGTCGACGATCTCTGCGCGAAGAGCTCCCGTCAAAGAGCGCTGGTCGACGATCCTGGTCGAAGAACTCTGGTCGAAGAGTTCGGGTCGATGAGCGCTGCTCGGCGAACGCTGTTCAACCGAGCGGTGTCCAAAAGATCGACCAAACTTGCAGAGGTGTGCGAAACTCTGAGGAGGTGTGCGAAACTTCGCCGAGAAGGTATTGGCGAAGTTTGACCTGCGGAATGGCAGCACGTGGTCGACGGTGCGCACCTGGCGAAACAGACAACACGTATTCTACCTGGCACCTACGCAATGTGCCTGACGGTGAAACCAAATATCACAGAAAATATTCCTCACGTTGCGTCTCAAGAAGAACGTTCCTCACATTGCATCACCCATCATTCATTCCCCTCTCCCCTGCCCCACTCAAACCACGAGTCACCTTTTTCTAACCATTCAGCTCCCCTCCCTGCCTCACCCAAAGTACCTTGTAGCTTGCCTTACTCTTTCCACTCTCTTCCCTACCTCACTCAAAGGACTGTTTACCTTGCCTAACCCCTCCCTGACTTGTCCCACATGGCCTCACTCCTTTCCCTGCCCCACCAAACACTCCAATAAATCTCATGGTCTTCTGAACTACGAGGCTAAGTAGGATGGAATCGATATAGGAGAGAACTGCCTGATGAAAATGCCTGGTCTAGAAAGGTACGGGGGCAACTCAGCAGCAGTACGGGGTAAGAATATAGTTGAAGTAGGTAACTGATCCTATCACAACTTGATAAAGCAGGTGAAATAAAGGCGGAATAATTCCAACTTGGATTATTATGCTATGATCCAAGCGATTTGATTCTCAAGCAGCCGAGCTCCATAATGCCCATATAGTCCAATTATTTTCAGTCGTGAAAGAACTACCACCCTTCCCCCTTTCTAAGCACACATTGTTCCCATACAAGTCAACCACCCAACCCCAAACAGCACCCCGAGCACATGCAAACAGCAACAATACCTTCCTTGGTTATCAACCACTGCCCTGCTCTACTTGCGTCCGAGATTTCCAAAGAAGTTTGTGGCCTTCTCGAACCCTTGCTTCACGTCGTCCGCTGCCTTCCTGGCACCTTCCCCAACCTTCTCAAACCCCTGCTTCACCTCATTCGCTGCCTTCTTGGTATCCTCCCACCCTTTCTCCAGCTTTTCCGCTTGCTTCTTTTTGTCTTTCACCATCCTATCCCATTCCTTCTTAGAATACTTCGCAAGCTCCTTTCCAACCTCAGCGATGGCTTTCATTTCACTCGGCCCGATCTTCACCTTGACCGCCTTCCCCTTGAGCATCCGTCGGATCTCCTGCATCAGTGGTAAGATGGACGCATCTTTGACTGCCACTGGGGAGGACAGGTCGTCCGCCGCCAAGACGCCAACATCCCGCGCAGGATCAGATTCGAATATCGGCGCTGTAGCGGAGACCACATGCGCGGCGGCAATGAGCACAGAGAGCACCAGTAAGAAAACGCGAAGCACGGCCATTGTAAGCAACCACCGGATTGGATTCGAAGGAAGCAGATGGAGTGGCCTCGCAAATGAATTGTGCGGAGCTAAATAGTGCCGCGAGCTGGGGCTGGTTTACTATAGGTTGGGTGCGGTCGATGCGATTATTCGTTGCTAGAGGCTATTGGCGCGACGCGAAATCTGCCGCTGGAAACGGGATGATTGGTCGAAGCGCGTTACTTGGTGATAGGCACTGGAGCGTGTCTGGAAGTTTGCCGTCGTTCCTTGTCACTCACGCCATGGGCTAGCCCTAAGTGTTGAATTCACAGCCCAACTTCATTCTAGGACGCGTCACAATTGTCACAATCGACGGCGATCGATCGTGCCCATCACAGGTGGCGCGGCATCTGCGGGCTGCGTCTCCAATCGCATGGTCGATGCGTCATTTGACGCCATCTGACCTCGGCAATCGGAGGGATATCGATCGTGGCGAGGAGACTGGAGACACTAGACGGAAAAACAGAAACGAAACTATTCCCGAATTGACGAAGTTACTGCACACCCTGTACATCGCTCACAGGGTCGGTGTGACATTTGTTACACGTCCTTAGCACTTCAGGAGGCGCAAAAGTGACCGATATTTGGTTACCAGCGCGAAGCAAGCTGGTGCCAACATGAAGCGCGGCGAGAAACGCGGTGGGCGGAAAGTCTCGCAATCATTGCAGGAGTGGTACAAATGTAGGTCCGTGAGTTGCGGAGACGTCAATAATGATAACAAATGTCTAGCGCTTACACTCCAGCTATCTCCTCAATAGGATTAGTCAAAGAAGAGTGTGCTAAATTGCAACGTCAAATAGGTGACAAGAAATTGAAGTCTGTAATCAATAAGGGTTCCCAAGTGTGCGCTTATTATTGAATTCCGGCCATAAGCGCAGTTCTTGAGATAGAATGGCATGCGCCTAACATAGGCCAGCGCTTATATCCGGGGCGGGGCCATACGGTACAGCAAACCTATTCATGATTCATTAGTAAATATAGTCACTTATAGTAAGCGCACACACACACACGCCGCCTGAACAAGCAGCCCCAGGGTTTGTACTGTCATGACTCACTATGTGCATGGAGAAATTAGTGGGTTAGTGTCAAATCAAACAGTCAGAAAATATGACCTTGGAGCGTGCCATCACCTACATCAAGAGAGGCAGATGAGCAACATCCACCATCCCCACACCTCCTGTTGCTGGCCTCTCTCACCTATACCATCAACCAATCGCACCTGTTTAAGTTTAACCCTTTCTGCAGCCCTTCCACCAGCAACATTACTTCCCCTTCGAGCAGCCAAAGACACTACCACCGCCTCCCTCTCCTCCGTTGCACATGCGTGGCTTGAAGCCTTCTTTCACTGCCTGCTCAGCCATCCTGTGCTTCCAGCCTCGCCGTAACAAGGTTAGTCAGTCTGCATGTGCACGGCCTGCAGTAGCCATACCATCAATCACACATCTGCTTGTGAATGCTACTCTGGCACCGCTGTGTGCACGCCACACTGCGCCTCGCCACGCACTCCATGCCAAACATGCCGTCATCTTGGGATCATCGGATGCGGGGCAGCAGCAGGAAGCCATCGAAGCCAGGGTGCCGGCCTGCTGTGCTGCGCACCGACCGCCTTCCTCCACCCGCCCCTCCCTCCACCACCCCGCCTCCCCTGCTCCCACCTTCTGCACCACCTGCTGCACCCTCTCGCCCCAAACTCTCACTCTCACTCGCTCTGCCATGCTGCCACGCACTGCCAACTGTCACACCCTCTGCTGCCGCTGCTGTTGCGCTTTCATGTGGCCGAGGGCTCATCTTCCCCTGGCCTGCTGTTGCGCTTTCATGTGGCCGAGGGCTCATCTTCCCCTGGCCTGCTGTTGCGCTTTCATGTGGGCGAGGGCTCATCTTCCCCTGGCCTGCTGTTGCGCTTTCATGTGGCCGAGGGCTCATCTTCCCCTGGCCTGCTGTTGCGCTTTCATGTGGCCGAGGGCTCATCTTCCCCTGGCCTGCTGTTGCGCTTTCATGTGGCCGAGGGCTCATCTTCCCCTGGCCTGCTGTTGCGCTTTCATGTGGCCGAGGGCTCATCTTCCCCTGGCCTGCTGTGCGTGTGCCTGGCATGCCACTCTCAATCGCCCGCACCCTGTCTCCACTTCTCTTATCTTGGCTATCTCCCCTGCCTTTCCTCCTCTGACCCTCACCGCCCTTCCCTTCTAGGCAGCAAGCCTTTTCTGCTGAGCTAGCAACCTTGGCTGCTGAGCTGGCAACCTTGGCGGTCAAGCTGGCAGTCATACCAGTAGAGGGGACAGTGGTACCAACAGAGCAGGCAGCAGTGCCAGCTGCTGTGCCAGCAGCAGCTGCTGCAGCAGTGGAGCCAACAGCGCAGTGAGCAGGTGCGTTGGGAGGAGCAGGAGGGTGTGTGGCAGCAAGAGCTCAAGGTGGCTCGGCCGTGCTGACAGCACCTGCCTTGGGTCGGTCGCTGCGCCGCTTCTTGAGGACCGGGAAGGAGAGAGCGGGCTGCTTGAGGGGCAATGTTGAGAGTTTGGAGATGCGGTCTGCAGTGGTACCGGCGGTGGCACTTGTGGTGGCACCTGTGGTGGCAGCTGCGGTGGTAGCTGTGGCGGCAGCTGTGGTGGCAGCAGTGGTGGCAGCTGTGGTGGCAACTGTGGTGGCAGCTGTGGTGGCAGCTGTGGTGGCAGCTGTGGTGGTAGCTGTGGTGGCAGCTGTGGCGGCAGCTGTGGTGGCAGCTGTGGTAATAGCTGTGGTGGTAGCTTTGGTGGCAGGGCAGGATACCTGTGATGTGTCTCCACGGCTCGCGAGTGTATCATCTTGAGGCGCTCTTGCTGTTGCTCGTATGCTTGCTGTGGTTGTTCGTGTGGATCCTGTTGCGGTTACTCCATTGCTTCCTGCTGTGCTTGCTGCTGCTGCAGCGACGACGGCTAACTCAGCTGATAGCAGCACAGCAGCTTGTTCTTCTGCTGCTGCCTTGCTGCGCTGCACCCCACCAGCACTTCCCGCACTGCCAGCACACCCATCCCCATCCCCATCCCCATCCCCATCGCCATCGCCATCGCTGCTGTCTCCCGCCCTCACCTCACCGCCTCCCCCACCACTCCCCTCCCCTACCTCTCTCCTCCTCTTCCTCACGGACCTGCTCCTCTTCCCACTCACTCTCACGCCTGCCCCTGCCTCACTCCCTGGGGCAGGCGGGCAGGTAGCTGGCGATGCCAGCGGTGCAGGCAGAGGAGCAGCAGCAGGGGAGGTGGCCGGGGGGGCAGGGAGTGAAGGGGAGAGAGGGCGAGAGGCCATGCGGGATGGATCGGTGGGTTGAGGAAGGGAGGAGCAGGCAGGCAGAAGCGGTGAGGCAATGCAGGAGGAGGGGGCAGGCTCGTATGTTACAGTCGGGCCACGGGGGCAGGTTGTAGCACAAGCAGGCACGGCCATGCAGCTGCCTCCTTGCAGGGCCGCTGCGTGCAGGGCGCGAGGGCTCCTCTTGCCCTTGGTGGCTGCGGCCGTGGCACCAGCGCCAGCTGAGGCAACTGTGGCAGCGGTAGCAGCAGCGACAGCGGTGGCAGCGGAGGCAGTACCACTGGTCGCCACACTGCATGCAGCCCTGGGAGCAACACTCACACTCGCTTCTGCTGCACCCCCAACAGCCACTGCTCCTGCTCTCCCCTTACCCACACGCACTGCCTTGCCTTCCCCGCCTGCTGCCAGCTTCCGCTTGGCACTGCGAGAGCCTTTCAGCCCGGACGCCTTCAGTTCCGAGGCAGCACCTGCGGTGCCGATTCCCCCACGTGCTGTCGCAGCTGCTTTGCCTGACGGCGCTACAGTTTTTGCTACAGCCAGAGGCGTCGCTGTGCGTGCGGGAGAGGGTGCGGTGAGCAGCGATGCAGTGGGTGGTGCGGTGGGAGGAGGCGATTGAGTGGCAGGAGGAGTAGTTGCAGCGGTATCAGCCTTGAGGCGCGATGCCAGGCGGGCCACAGCGCGGCGCAGGGTCTGATAGTGGCGCGGGGTGGCAGGGAGAGGAGGGACAGGGAAGGGAGATAAGGTGAATGCAGCAAGAGGTGAATAGTCAGCAGCACTTGATCAGCATTCTCCATGACGACAGCAGCAGGTTCGCTGCTCACCTTGATCTCTGGGCGCAGGTCCACAGGCAGGGCAGAGGCGTGGCTGATGAGCGCGCGCAGATGTGACAGACGCTGGGCGGCCTGGCGCTCTGACAGCTGTGACTGAGATGAGAGTGCCTTGCTGAAGCAAGACAGCCACTCAGAAGCTGCCTCGTGTCGCTGTTTGGCTTCCCCGAGAACGGCATCAGTTGTGCCTACTGTGTGCGAGCCCTGGAGGACAGACAGGGGAGGGGAGGGGTGAAGGACGAGGATTGAGAGATGGAAGAAGGTGGGACAGAAAAAGACTCTTGGCATGCACACAGAGAGTATAATGGAGCGAAGAGAGCAACGGAAAGACAAGAGAAGTGGGGTTGGAGACACTAAGATCTGCTCGTTACACAGTATCGCCGTAAGTGCAATTCTGTTTGTATAAGCCACTATCTCACCGTCTGCACCAGCTGTGCCAGGGTGGAAGGTCGGGGCCGTGGGCGGCCAATGAGAGCGCTACACGTGGCAGCCCTCCAGCAGTGGGCGGCCACTGCCCTCTGCATCACCGCCAGCGTGCCGCCCGCCTCAACAGAGCAGCCTGTCCCTGCCTCCGACACCGCCGCTGCCGCTGGCCCTGTTGGCACTGTTGGCCCTCCTCCACCATCCTTGGCGCTCTGCCCTGCCGACTGCTGCACCTCCTGTTGCCCTCCAGCCACCACTCCCACAGTCGCTGCCGCGGCAGCAGCTGCAGTGCCGGTGACATGCTTCGTGTGATCCCCTTGCACCAGATGCTGCTGCTGCTGCTGGCGTGTGGGCGGTGAGAGAACTGCATTCACGTGCAGCAGCCACGAGGCAAGAGGCTCTGCTGCCTGCGCTGCTATTGAATCTAGTGCCGCTGGTGTGGCAGCAGGGGCAGTGGAGGAGAGCGATGGCGGAGAGGCAAGTGGCATGTCGAGTGGAAGACAGGAGGCCACCTGCAGATGGGATGCGGATTGGGGGTTGAGAGTGAGTGACTGAAGGCCCGATCGCAAACAAAGATTTGACAAGTGGCAGGAGATGATATCATTTGAAATATAAAGATAAATACCTACTTGAGACAAAGGGTCAGCCATAACCTGAAACAATGCTGAAAAATCACCTGAAGCAGACAGCTGAGTATGGAGGGAGGCAGGGGTTCGGCATGACGTGGCAAGGACAGGGTGGTGGAGAGCGCTGATGTCAGCAAGTGAGAGCAACGCGTTGCTGATTGGACGAGTTGCTCCAAGCTGTGCACGGCTGCGATCCTGGTGGGGCCGAGCAGAGAGTGAGAGAGCGAACAGGGGGGGACATGCCGCACGATGCAAGAAGCAGGCTGGCTGAAATGTGCACCCTGCTCTGAGTCGAGAGAGGATGGGGTTCAGCTTGGCCGAGAGAGTGTGTGCGCATGGCAAACCGGGTGCAATGCGTGTGTGGTGGCGGGGGCACAAGCATACATCTGTGCAATGCGTGAATGCCATGTGCGGGAAAGTGTGCGTTGAAGTGAGCAAGAGCGTGCAAGCATGTGCACATGCGTGCATGTGTACACGTTTGGATGAGCGAGAGTGGTACCTGGGGTGGAGAGGGAGAGCGCGAGAGAGCAGGCCCACCAAGCACCGCAGCGACACGCGGGGCAGGCGACGAGGCTGCACAGCAGGAGGGCGTGAGGGACAGACGAGGGGGAGGGGGAGGGAGAAGCATGGAGAGGAGCGAGTGGAGGGAGCGAGTGGAGGGAGCATGCACTCGCGCTGCTGGTGGCAAGTGAGGCGGATGCATGTGCAGGTGGAAGAGGGACGTGCAGGTGGAAGAGGGACGTGCAGGTGGAAGAGGGACGTGCAAGTGGAAGAGGGACGTGCAAGCGTGCTCCTGTGGTGGTATGGCATTTTAGCAGGAGCAGTGGGGCGGCAGGACGTACATGGAACAATGCTGAGACGGCAGGTGTGACGGCTGCTGAGGCGAGGGAGGAGCAGAACGGGCATGTGAAGGGACCCTGCTGCTGCTGCTGCTGCGGCGGCAACGGCTGCTGTTGCTCAGTGCTCTGGTCGTGCCGTTGCCGCTGCTGCGGCTGTGGGTGGCTGTCTCTGTCTGTACCTGGTGGAACTACCCCACCACCCGCCCCCCCACCCTGCTCTGCCCTTGCCTGCTGCTGCCCTGCTGCCTCTCGCTTCTGCTCTTGCGCCTTCTCCTGCTGCTGCTCGTCTTGAGCGGCGGAGGGGGCGGCAGCATGCAAGTATGAGAGACAGTCGGCGTGGAATCTGTGAGGGTGTAGAGTGAGGCAGGCAAGGGGAGGCGGTCGGAGGGAAGGCACACACAATGGAGGGAATGGGAATTGCAGCAGGCTCGCAATGAAGGAAAGGAAATATGCAGTGAGGGTGGGGGCAACCGTGGAGCAAGGAGGGGGGAGTATGCTTTATGATAAGATCCACATACCTCATGCTGCATCCGTCGCATATAAGTGCATCCTTCATGCCTTCGCCCTTCAATCCATATCCATTCTCTAACTTCTGCTCCTCCTCCTTTGCTTCACCCTTCTCCAAACGCACTGCTCCCATATTCCCTTCCCTATCGCCTCTTGCTTCTCCTGCCTTCTCTTCCCTCTTCTCCCATGACATCCCTGCGCCGCCTGCACCACTCTCTCGCCCAACAGCACCGCACACAACAGCAGCGGCTCTCCTCCCACCGCTGCACTTTCCCCGAACCCGGACATCCCCACCGCCTCCTCCCGCCTGCCCGCCAACCACTGCCTGCCCGTCGCTGCCGCCAGAGAAACCAGCAGAAGCAGCACATGCAGGGTGGGCGCGGTGCAGCACCGCACACCAGCAAACGGTGTCGGACGAAGAGACGCTTCCAGCAACCGCCGCCGCAGCAGCACCAGGCGGAGCAGGTACAGGTGCCTCTGATGCCTCTGGCGCCCCTCGCACTGCTGCTGCTACTGCCGGTGCCACACCTGGTGCCGGTGCATGAGCTGGTGCTGTGGCTGTGGGGGCCGTGGCTGCGGGAGATGCGGCGGCAGCCACGGCATCTGCGGTGGCACCTACTGCGCTGCCTGCCAGCACTGCGGGATGAGGAGCATTGGCTGACGCAGAGAAGGGTTGAGCCGGCAGAGCAGTGAGGTGTGAGAGGGCAGCGGTGCGGCGGGCCAGGGAGGAGATGCGATGAAGAGCTGCTTGCACGCTGCTGTGCATGTGCTTCAGCTTCCACACCACCTCCTCCTCACACACCCGCCCCTTGCCCTCCCCGTGCAGCCCCTTACCCTCCCCTGGTGCCACACTCCCCTCCCCTTGTGCCCCCTCGCCTCCTCCTCTCGCCCCCTCGTCCCCTGAGCCCCCCCGGAGGGCAGCACAGCACGCAACGAGCCAGTCGTCCAGCGCTGCCACTGCCTGCTGCACCTGCCGGGCCTCCCCGCTCGCCACCACGCTGCTGCTGCCGTGCACCTGGTGTGAGAGTGGGTGGGTGGGCCACAGGGGGAAACGAGGAGCGGTGGCTTGCTTGGGGAAACGTTAAAGAAGGGAGATTGTAGCTGACACTTTGGAGAATTGAAATGAGAGGATTGGATGGAGGGAGAGACGAGATGAGCTGGAGTGGGAATGGAGAAGGGCGCGTTGGAGGAAGAAGGGAGGGAGGGATGGAAGTTAAGGAACACAGCCGAGTGCACATTGCGGGAGGAGATGGAAGCACAGTATGAAACGTGAGATGCCACGCATATTCAGAGATATGGCTTGTGTGAGGCATACCTGGAGGCCCTTGAGGTGCGCAAGTGTTGTGGCAGGTGCACGGGGCAGCAGCGGAGGTGGTGAGGTGGGCGCAGGGAGGCGTGGGGCGAGCAGTTGCTGCACCTCGCTGACCCACTCCCTGGTAGGCAGGGCACATCCACGGAGGGGGGTGGGTGGGCACAAGGGTGTGTGTGTGTGCGCTAGGAGTGGAAGGCACAGCGGTGAGCAAGCACATAAGTGGGCAGCAGCACAGGGACCGAGAGCACAGGAAGAAACTGTGGTGGCCACTCCCTAAACCCCAGCATTGCACCACAACAAGAGACGTGCGTGGGAGAGGTGCAGGCGCTGACCTGTGGGAGGCGATGACGGTGCTGAGCTGGTGGCACTTGTTGTGCACACACACCTGCAAGGCCTGCACCAATAGCATGGCGTGGAGGGGCATGGGGGCCAACGAGAGGCAAGCAACAGATGGGAGGGCACACAGGTGGGGCCACCAGTCGCTACAACGGCTGCAGCAGAGGTGCCTCGAGCTGTGGCTAGTTCACATGGATAGATGGTACAAGGGCGCTGTACACAAAACAGAATAACCAGATTACTACAGATAGAACACACGCACATAACCCCCATTCACCCTAGCGCACAACCCTCACTTCACCCCTTGCTCCACTCCCCTCCCTCCATCTCTCTCACCATGCCACGTGCCACCATCGCCTCCACCTCCTGCACCTCACAGCTGGCAGGGCCACGTGTCAGCATCTCATTGGCCGCCTGCACCCACTGCCGTGCGTCCGCCAGGGCTGAGTGCAGCAGGGAGAGGCGCGCCGAGGGGGGCGGAGAGGGGGCGGATGCAGCAGGCTGAGCAAGGCCCTCGGATGGAGCTGCTGATGGTAGTGGTGGTGCTGATGGCGTTGGGTGGGGTGGAGGGTGGGCGAGCGCATCAGTGAGTGGGTAAGCCGCCACCAGTGCCTCCACCTCCTCCACGCTGGGCTTGCCTCGCCTCTCACCACCACCCTGCACCGCACTGTCCTGCGCCACACCACCACTCTGCACCGCAGTATCTGCAGTGCCAGACAGCAGGGCATGGGCGGCGACCTCCCAGTGCAGGCGCTGCAGCAGCGCGCGCACAGCCGGCAGCTCGGGCACCGCCACGCCCAGTGCTGCCCCCTGGGTGAGCAGCGACGACAGCTCAGCCGCACTGGCGCTCGCTGCTGCTGCCGGCACCAGTAGCTCCGGGGGGGGCTTGCCTGCAGGCGCAGCTGGTGCTGATGCAAGGGGTGTGGCGCCTGACTCGGTGGCGATGGGCACTGCAGCCGGGCTGGCTTGGGTGCTCTGTGCTGCAGCTGCTGTGGTCGGTGTGACTGTGGTGGGTGGTGAGAGCAAGGTGGTGGCGGTGTGGAGGGCGTGTGAGGTGGCGGATTGCCAGGCGGCGAGAGAAGAGAGCAGCGAGGCGAGCTGTGGTGCGTGCGGTGGACGCACGGGCAGCGCAACGACCTCTGCATGCAAGGCCTGTGGCAAACGGCGGATGGAGGGGATGTGAGAAGGACGAGGGTAGGTGGGAAAAGGGGGAGACGGGGGAGAGGGTTGGGTGGGGTGGAGGGGGGGAGGGAAGGAGGGAGGATGAGATGGAGTCAGGTGGACGCAGTCAAGTGTACCGGGGTCGAGCTAAGTGAGATTTGGACACATATGCAGCTAAAAAACAAACAATTGATACCCGTTTCGACATTTGACGCCCAGCTTTCTTTTCCCAGAGCTGACCAGAGAAAAAGAAGTCAGGCCTACCACATACCTCAATCTCTTCCACAGTCACTCGGGCATCCGCGCCCTCCTGCACCCCCCCTCCCTCGCCCTACCCTCGCCCTCTCCTCCTCTGCTTCCACCTCCCTCCACTGCCTCTCTCCTTCCCCCCAGCGGGGGTAGCAACACCAGCACCAGTACCAGCAGTGACGGCAGCAGCGGAGCGGCGCACAGCAGCAGCAGCTGGTCGCCTCGAGCTGCTGCTGCCCTTGCTGACGCCAGCACTGACATCAGGTGAGCATGGCCTGCCAGCGATGCTGGGATGGCCTCCGCCTCCCTGTGCGGGCGAGCGAGGGATGTTTGGGGGGGCGGGGAGGAGGCAGTGGGGGCGGGGGGAAAGGGCAAAAGGGGAGGAAGGGGGGATACAGCGGGAAAAGAAACATTTGCGGAGAGGATGGGTGGGCGAGACAGGATGTGAGAATCCCATAGTTGGGATGAGAGGTGAACTCAAAAGTTGGTATATTGGGGAAAAAGAGCAGTACAGTACAAATAGGGCATGAGGTGAGTGAGCACAGTTAAGGTTCCCCCCCACCATTATTGGCTAACCAATGGGATGGGGGCCCCAGCTCAATAAGTGGGGTTGAACCAATTATTGGAGGAGCGAAACATTGAGGGTTTGGCCACCAATGTTGGCTCCCCAACAATAATCGTTGCTTGGGTTGCGGGACCCCAACCAAAAGTCGGACGTCCTCTTCAATGTGTACACCCATGATTTGGGTGTACACTAATAGGTCTAACCATAAACATGATACAATATAACACAGGGTACGTAGCTAAGTGTCTCACACGGAGGGGGATACGGAAGCACGGAATGCGATGCGAGACGCCTTCATGTGGGCAATTGCGCAGTGGACTGGAGGATTCGCCAACATGATTGCATTCACTGCACCACTACCTTTTTTACAACACCTCGTCTCCCCACGTGTATCACTCACCCTCGCCTCCCCCTCTCACCTGCTCATCGCCTCGCCCTCCTCCAGGCTGCACCCCTCCTGCAGCGCCCTCTGCGCCCTGGCCTGCCAGTCGCTGCCTGCCGCCACCACCGCGTGCACGCGCGCCACCACTGCACTGCCCGTGGGCAGCCTGAGGGTGGGGTGAGTACAGGCCGTGGGAGGGATGGGACGGGAGGGAGAGTAGGGTTGGGAGGAGTGGGACAGGTGCGACGGACAGGGTTGAGTGAGAGGCACGGGAGAGGAAGCAGGTGGAGTGTGTGCTTTTCATGACACACCAAATGACAGACATAAGCAGGCCTGAACCTTCAAGCTGCAAGTTGCGAAGGATCTAGTAGCAAGGCAGGAATGTCTCTCTCTCATTCTCTCCCTTTGCCCCATCTATTTCTCTTGAATCTCCCTCCCTCACTCTCCTGCTCTCAACTATCTCCCTACATCTCCCACTCTCCTTGCTCTCCCACACGCTCACCGCTCCCCCTGCGCCTGCAGCGCCAGCAGCTCGTCCACTGATGCACGGCGCATGAGCGCCCCCTCCGCCGCCTCCTCCCACTGCATGCGCTGCAGCTGCTGCTGCACCTGCTCCATCTCGTCCACTGGCAGAAGGGGGGGAGAGGAGTGTGGGGATTTGTGGGTTGGAAGTGGTTCAGGAAAAAACGAAATGTGCAGCAACAGCCACAGCGGTGGCAGCAGTTAGGGATGAGCAAGTGGCGAACACGAACGTGTTCGTGTTCGCCCCTACACGAACACCTTCGTTTGCCGAACCGAACACTGTTCGGTTCCGCGAACACTTTGAGCAAAAAATGGTGTTCGCCGTTCGCCTGTGAAGGCGTGTTCGGGCGAACCTCGAACACTGTTCGTGTTCGTCGCGGGCAAATTGCAGCAGCGGCCCGAACACGAACGTGTTCGGGCGAACATCGAACACTGTTCGGCGAACATTTTAAGCCAAAAAAAAATACCTGTTCGGTTCGCCTCGAACACGTTCGAGGCGAACCGAACAGGTGTTCGTTTTTTTGCTCAACCCTAGCAGCAGTAGCGGCAGGAGGAGGCGATGGAAGCAGAAAACAGTGATGATGATGCTGTTGTTGTTGACCATGCAGGTGTGACGCTGCTCCTGCTCCTCACACTCCCTCTCCACGGCATTCACCGCCCCACCCTCCACCGCCCCACCCTCCACCGCCCCACCCCCACTCACGAGTGACGTGCATGCGCGTGCCGGCCTCCACCAGCGCTGCCAGCTCCTCCTTCCACCCGCTCTGCCTGCCCGACGCGGGTGTGACAGTGGCGGGTGTGACAGTGGCGGGTGTGACAGTGGCGGGTGTGACAGTGGCGGGTGTGACAGTGGCAAGTGGGACAGCGGCGGAAGGCGACGGGAGAAGCAGAGTAGCTTGGACAGCGGCAGGGCAAGGGGCAGCAAGAGGGGTGGCGTCAGTGGCAGAAGCTGTGAGCGCAGCAGGGGCTGTGGCAGACGGAGTGGGGATGGATGCAGGGTGGTGGGAAGAGGGAGTGCAGGCAGCAACGGTGGGAGGAGGGGTTGCTGGAGAGGGAGCAGCGGCAGCGGTGGTGCGAGTGACAGGCAGGGGGGTGGCAGGAGCAGGTGTGGTGGGGGGAGCAGAAGGGGGAGAGAGTCTGGAGGGGGGAGGGCTGCCCGGGCCACACTTGCTGCTTGCCACACTAGCTGCTCCTGCATGCCCCTGCCCTTCTTTTTTCCCCTGTTTGTGTGCCTGCTTGCCCCTCCCCCCATCCTTGCCCCCCAGTGCCGCCAGCAGTGCGCGTGCCCTCTCTCCCCAGCGCCGTGCGTCGTCCCGCCGGGCCTGCAGCTGCGCCACCGCTGGCAGCCGCACCGCCACGCCCCTCGCCTCCTGCAGCAACCCGTCCATGTCCTGAGGGGGGAAGGACGGGGGGACGGGGATTGAAGACGCACGGGGGGGCGCCGGGTGAGCTTGGGTGGGGAACGAGACACAGGCAGGGAGGCGAGGAAGGGGGGAGGATGTTTGGGCAATGAGGCGAGCGGGAGAGATGCAAGGAGAAGAAGCGCTGACTGGCGGAACAAAAGGCGCGAAAGCAGGACAGGTTGCCGGGAACGAGAGAGCAGCGCGGTGGACATGGCAGTGTGGGGAGGTGACAGCGAGGTGGGGAGGTGGCAGCGAGGTGGGGAGGTGGCAGCGAGGTGGGGAGGTGGCAGCGAGGTGGGGAGGTGGCAGCGAGGTGGGGTGGTGGCAGCGAGGTGGGCAGGTGGCAGCGAGGTGGGGAGGTGGCAGCGAGGTGGGGAGGTGGCAGCGAGGTGGGGAGGTGGCAGCGAGGTGGGGAGGTGGCAGCGAGGTGGGGAGGTGGCAGCGAGGTGGGGAGGTGGCAGCGAGGTGGGCAGGTGGCAGCGAGGTGGGGAGGTGGCAGCGAGGTGGGGAGGTGGCAGCGAGGTGGGGAGGTGGCAGCGAGGTGGGGAGGTGGCAGCGAGGTGGGCAGGTGGCAGCGAGGTGGGCAGGTGGCAGCGAGGTGGGCAGGTGGCAGCGAGGTGGGGAGGTGACAGCGAGGTGGGCAGGTGGCAGCGAGGTGGGGAGGTGACAGCGAGGTGGGGAGGTGGCAGCGAGGTGGGCAGGTGACAGCGAGGTGGGCAGGTGGCAGCGAGGTGGGCAGGTGGCAGCGAGATGGGCAGGTGACAGCGAGGTGGGCAGGTGGCAGCGAGGTGGGCAGGTGGCAGCGAGGTGGGCAGGTGACAGCGAGGTGGGGAGGTGGCAGCGAGGTGGGGAGGTGGCAGCGAGGTGGGGAGGTGACAGCGAGGTGGGCAGGTGGCAGCGAGGTGGGCAGGTGGCAGCGAGGTGGGCAGGTGCCAGCGAGGTGGGCAGGTGGCAGCGAGGTGGGAGCGAGGTGGGTGTTAAAGTATATATTGTGTAGCATGCCAACACATGTGACTGTACACCAATTGTGGTGTACAGTTGGGTTGGGACTACACCCAACTTTGGGTGTAGTCTTGCACTTTGGGGTGCCAATCCACCCAATTGTGGTGGAGCCCCCAAATGCAACCCTCTTGACTTGTGGGTACCTCACTTCCCACAATTGAGGTTACCCCAAGCCAAGTGGGCCTAGGGTTGCCTCACTTCTACAAAGTGTGGGCAACCCAACCCACTTGACCTATGGTTCCCTCACTTCCCCAAGTGAGGTCAACCCAACCTATGGTCACTTTCGTCCTTCCCTTCCAACCTTCCCTTCCAACTATGTATGCTAGGTTGTTCCTCTAATCTCATGACTGTTGGTGCAACCCTACGGTTTGCATTCGGCTTGTTGTCCGTGTGCGTGCATGCGTGTGTGCATGGAATGGTATGAGGGCATGAAATAATATATATTTCATGTTTACAATAGTGTGTGTATGATGAAGCATGATTTTGAATGTGTGCGTCGAGTCAATAGCGAGTTATCGCTAGTCGCGTGTCACGTCGTCGTTTGCGTGTCGTGTGCGGTTTTCTATTTTGTCGTGTGTGGAACGTTCGGCGTGTCGCAGGTGTGCGCAGCAGACTTCCAAGAACTCAAGGAAGAATTTACCTTGAAGAACCAGAGCCTTGGTTTCAAGATTCAAGTTATTTCGAAGCTCTCCAAAAGGGTAAACTTTAAGATAGTGAGAATAGTTGCATTACTTTGTGTAGTGTAACATTTCTCTTGGTGTAGGCCCTTGTGGAGGGTAGTTTCGAGACCCTTCGTGGTTGGGGACAGTGTGGCACTGTTCCACATCACTGTACCTCGGCTCTTGGGGTTTGTAGGAGCTGGGAGTCATTCCCAACTCGTAACTCTTCCTATCTTGTGTTCTAAGACTATAGTGGCTGCCATAGTACCGTTCGTTCAAACCGACGCTGTGTCGTCAATTCTTTATCAAATCGTGCAATCTAAATTGATAATTGTAGACGACGTGAAGACGCTCCAGATCCAATTTGAATCAAGTCATTTGCAGCTGTGAGCAGAACGCTATCAACGTTTGAAGCCGCTGTGCAGAAATCCGTCTGTGCTCTCTATCTTTCGTTTTAGGCACATTCAAGCCTATTGTGACTATAACAAGTGGTATCAGAGCCCCTTGGAGCAGTTTCGACAATGGATGGACCTGAGGAAAGGGGTGGCAGAGTTGCTGGTGGCAGTGGAGAAGCCCAAGCTCAAGGCCAACCCCGTGATTCAGCCATGGCGCCCATGCAACCAAGTCTTGGCCCACCTAGGGATGAGCCTAGGGTGTTTGGGCTTGACAAGTTCAACGGTGACAACTTTGCTGAATGGTCCTTCAAGATGGAGAACATCTTTGACCACTATGACCTGCTGGAGGTGATGGAAGGAACGGAGAAGCGCCCCGAGAACGACCCGGAGAAGAGCCCGTGGGTGCGGAAGAGCGCACAAGGCTATCTCCTACTTGGGCAAGCGTTGGGGAGCAGCCAGATCCGTCACATCAAACCATTCCAGCGTGAACCAGAGAAGGGACCAAAGGCATGGGCTGCTCTCAAGGGTGTACATGCTCCTGCAACAGCGGCGGTAGCGGTGGTGTTGGAACGGCAAATGGCGGCACTACGAATTGAAGAAGACGAAGCGGTTGAAGAAGGGGTGCAGAAATTCTTCGACTTGTTGACGCGGCTTGAGGGAGCTGATTTGAACTATAGTGAGCTCCAAAAGAAGACCAAGTTGCTGGCTTTACTCCCAGAGTCATGGTCCTCTCTCATCATCAACCTCAATCGTGACTTGCCCCACCTCTCGCTCGAAGACGTGAAGCGAGCGATCCTTCAAGAGGATTTCCGTCGCCGTGAGTTGGCGAGTGCGGATGGCGCCGGGGCAGCAAGCATCGGCCGTGGATATGGCCGTGGAAAGGGCAGAGGACGAGGAGGAGGAAGGTTTGGAGGTAGCAACTTCAACGGAGGCCGCGGGAGTAGCGGATACGGCAATGACAACAAGAACAACGGACGCGGTCGCGGACGGTTCGACGGCGAGTGTCATTTTTGCCACAAGAGCGGACACATGTGGCGCGATTGCTACAAACTCCCTGATGGATGGACTCCTGCTCAAGGCCAAGAGGGTAGAGGAGCAGGAGGAGGGAGAGGAAGAGGCCGTGGAGGCCGTGGCGGTCGCGGAGGTGGTGCTGCAAGCATGAAGAGTGCCGGCAACGAGAGCGAGTCGAGGGACGATCGCTTCCCGGGTCAATTCTTCTTCGTGTCCACGCAAGCACCGGCTGGTCCAGAGAATGATGAAAGCTTCGAGGAGCCAGCAGCTGTGGGGAAGGTCACCCTACACTCCCTGGACTATTGGGTGATCGATAGCGGCGCTACCTATAGCATGACACCTCGTGCGGACTTGCTCACCGAACTTGAGCCGTCACCGGTGAAGCATGTGACATCGGCTTTGGGGCAGCGAGCAGAGGTGAAAGGCATGGGCAAGGCCATGTTCAAGGGTGCTGATGGGAAGATGGTGGGCCTCAAGAACGTGCTTTGGGTGCCCAACCTTGCTGCCAACCTGATTTCCGTGCGGCGGTTGCAAAAGGCCGGCATGGACACGAGCTCGAAGGGAGCCAAGACCTACACCGCGAGGCTTGGCGAGCGGATTCTTTGGGACCTTCACGAGGATAGGGATGTCTACA